TGGGCAATGTACTAGACAAAGAAGAGAAGATGAACGACATAATTAAAGGGCTGACAGTCCATCCAAACAAGCCTGCGGATATAATTATGTTGCAAGAGACCCATCTCACTATATCAATCGAACATACTAGAATCCGCAGAGCATTGGCCAAGAAGCTAGGAGGAATCAAAGATGACATATGGTCATCCAATAACACATCGAGTACAGAAGGGACAACCATCCTCATACCTAAATCTTCCCACCTCTATACAAGCAGATACATCAGAAGGAAGATGGTGTCTCGTGGGTTTAAGATGGAAGGAAGAAGAATTTAGGGTAATCAACCTCTACGCACCTAACAACTCCTCGGGAAGATCCTCATTTATAACAGGTCTGGGCGGTCTGATCCCCTCCATATCACCTTGCATCCTAGCAGGAGATTGGAATGCCACACTGGACCCTGCCACCGACCGGATCTCCAGATCAACAACCTGCCAGTCCACGCAAGAAGAAGTTGCCATCCAGAAGTTGACGCTGGATCATAATCTGGTGGAGCCATACCGCACCTTACACCTGGGTGAAAGAGCCTTCACATTGGTGAGAAAGAACCACGCCCAGCACAGAGCCTTCTCTTTCATAGATGATTTCATCCTATCAGACATATTAATGGGCACAACCAAACACAAAGATTCTCCCCCTTCAGCCGTACCCAGGACTAGACCACAAACCCGTTGAACTCATCCTCAACTTCGAACAATATGTAAAGAAAGGATCCAGCGTCCATAAGTTGAACAACTCTCTCTTACTAAGTCAAGTTTTCCAAACTGGGGTCATAGAATGCTGGCAGAATATGAAGACCAACTACCTGCCCTCCCGCGATAGGTGGGAATGGTTTCAAGAAAGTTATTCTACCCTGTCACAAACAGTAGCCATGATGTCAAGGAAACTGGCAAACGACAGAAAAAAGAGGAAAATTGCTCTAGAAACGGCCCTAAAAATCGCTGAGTCAAATCTAGTCGACAACCCCTCCTCCCTTCTCTGCATTGACATTTTCCTTAAAGCTAATCCAGAAGGCTGGAAAGAGCTGTTGAAGGGAACCCCAACATGGAAAACGGGTGAGTGGGGAATTCGGATACAGGAACAACCGCCCGTGAGAGCATACCAGTTCTCCCACAAACAAATGGGATCGAGTACCGTTGCGGTGTTTACATCCTACCCAATCGTGACATCAGTGCATGGCTCTGCATCTATCTTGGACAAAGATGTGGAAAGAACAAGCTTAGACATTTTCCTCTTTAGGAAAGTAAGAGTCACAGGTTCCTGGCCCAAATCAATCTTCAGAATAGACACCCCAATCCAAGACCTGGAATTCGACCCAGCAGAATTGGCCTGGACATTTGAAAGTAACAAAAGCATTAACACTGACATCCAGGACTACTCAGTCAAAATGGGTTATAAGTTATTCCTTAAGACTAAGGACCCGGAACCCGTAATCAGAAGTAGATGGTCAAAATTAATCAGACAACAGGCAGACCGTATCTCACAAATCCCATGGAAGAAGTTCAAATCAATCAGACCTGTTAAAATCCGGAGTCTCCAATCGCTTATCGCATACATGGCACTACCTGTCAACCAATGGCTCCACAAGCGAAGACGAAGGAGTGATCCCAATAGTCCGGACGTATGCACAGTCTGTTCAGATAACGAGCCAGAAGATATAATTCACTTCCTAATTCGCTGCAAGGAAGCTAGTGAATATTGGGTCAGGGCCTCGGACCTTTGGAACTCCCTTTTCATATCACCCCTCCCTGAACATCCCATTCAACTTCTTCTTTGGACTAACATTCCTACTGATTTCAACAACGCTGAGAAGATATGAAATGGCATGATCAGAAAAGTCACGCTTTGGTCGATTTGGAAGGATAGATTCAGCAGAACCATCGAGGGACTATCAACTCCGAGAGAAAGGTTTGGGTGGAGACAAGGACCTTGATCCAGGCAGAGATTCTATGCAGATGGCACAAGATTAGACTCTCCATGCCTGAAGATGAAGATCGACAGCGCAGTATCCTCTCCAAATTTGTCAAGGCCTGGCTGGTTGGGGGGGGAAATAGCAGAGATAAGAGAATCCAACTTACAATGGGAAAAAATTGGCACAACTCGGAGACCAGCGGGAGAAGCTCAATATCTCACTCGATGGGGGGCCCACAGGATCCACAGGCTACATAAGGAGTAACAACAACTTTCATTTTGGAAGCATTTTCATTCCTTAGTTCTCCTAGTTGATTAAAGCCTATTTGGCAGGTTTCCATAGGGGATTCTGAGAGGGAGTTCAGGGAAAGGCAAGCTGACAGTCAATCCTCCTATAAGGAACAACCAGTGCTGGTAAGGGTTCCTTAGGCCAGACAGAAGGAAGCGTGAGCGTGATCTATGATGTATCAAAAAAAAAAAAAAAAAAAAAAAAAAAGACTTGCCGGGGGAATAGGAACCGGACTGACGCGACGGCGGACTGTCGCGGACTGATGCTGGTCGCGCTAGCGCCGCTCGGTTAGCGCAACACTGCGCCTGCGCCGCGCCGGCCCCGTATGGGCGTCGACTCGAACCACTGCTGAAGAACGCGAACTCGCCACAGCCCGACCTTGCCCGACATCGGGTGCGCGCGCCCCGGGTGCACGCTCATCTCTATGGCTACCGAATATGTGAGGGAAGAGGAGACGAAGGCATACGTGCCCTGAGTGGAGGAGGCGCCCACGCGCCCACGCCACTACAAAGAACACTCCTTCCAGCGCTGAAGAGAGGGAGAGAGAACAGGTGACGGAAGGAGTTGGGAGCCCCATGTAGAGGAAGACCTACCTGTCTGAGTGAGAGAACCTTACTAACTTCCGCTTTCCGGCCCCTCCCCTCACCTTCACCCCATCTCGCTCTTACCCATATCTCGCCTCCAACTGGACCTTCACCCATCTTGACCCCTCGCCAAGGACACCCTCCTAACCACCTCCATCTCCCCTCCCCCTCCCCCGACCGGACTTGATTCAATCACCCTCCGACTACACCCTCGTTCCAACCCCTTTCCGGTTTCACCCCGATCCCTATCATTTAGAACCCTGAAACCGATCCCCTCCCCAACCACATTTACTGTCTCCAACCTCACCGCAACCCCTCCGCCATCTAGCTCGACTTGCTTCGACTTACGCCCAACTCTCTCAAATTCTGATCCCGGGAGGGCAAGCGCCTAGTAAGTTTCGTTCTCTACAGCCCAAATTCGGGACTTTACCATGCACTCTACCTCCATCTCTTCGCCCACAATCGATCAGTAGTCCTAATCGGAAATCCGATCCCTCTCCTGCCTCCCACGCACTCCATCTCTAATCTTCACCTTTATTTTACCACTCGCCTCAATTGGGAATCAGATCCCCTTCGTTCCCCTTCAGTCCCCCCCCTCGACATCGATCCCAATCTTGTCTCCATCCCAAACCCGTTCTCTCGAGTTCGCCCCTCTCCCTCCTCAACCCCCACTTCGAACAAATCTCGCCCCAGCCTAACGCGACCCAACCTCGACCCAATCGATCCCCAACTAGTCCCAACTTCAACCCGATCCAGACTACCTTCGCTCCCGATCCATTTCTTACCCCCTCCCCCAACCCTGATCCCCCAACCCCGATACGGATCCCATCCCCCGTCTTCCCGACCCCGATCCCATCCCCAATCTCACCTTGATACTAACTTCTCTCCTGCCAACCCCGTCCTATCCCAACCTTGATCCCATCCGCGATCCTTCTCTACAGCCCTTCTAACCCGAACTTTACGTCCCTTACCCCACTCCTAGCCCACCCCTGAAGCGCATCCACCTCATCCCCATCTCTTCCTCTCCCCGACCCTACCCTGAACACGTGCCGACCTTGCCCCACCCCTTTCCCGACCCCAACTTTTTCTCCTTTCAATCCAATCTCAATCCTACCCCGACCTCAATCCGCCCATTCCACGATCCCTTCCCGATCCTAACCGACCCCATCCCCGATTCCTATCCGACTCCTATCCGTCCCTTTCCCAATCCCAACCCGACCCCCGCAATCCCATCCCGTTTCCAACCCGACCCCATCCCGATCCCATCCCGATCCCAACCCGACTCCACCCCGATCCCAGCCCGAATCCGCCCCGATCCCAATCCGATTCCATCTCGCACCCGTCCCGACTTCACCTCACCTTGACTCCATCCCAACTCGACCCCATCTCAACCCGACTCCATCCCAACCCGACCCCACCTCGCTCCCAATCAGACTCCATCCCCACCCGACTCCATCCCAACCCGACTCCATCCCGAACCCATCACGACTCCTTCCCGATCCCAACCCGACTCCTTCCCAACCTGTCTCCATCCCGATCTCAAACCGATCCCATCCCAACCCGATTCTGTTCCATTCCCAACCCGTCTCCATCCCGTTCCCAACCCGACTCCAACCCGACTCCATCCGACTCCAAATTGATCCCAACCCGACCCCATCCAGATCACCAACTCGACTCCATCCCGATCATAACCTGTCCCCATCCCGATCCTAACCCAAATCCACCCCGATCTCAACCCGACTCCATTCCGTTCTTGACTCGAAACCCATCCCAACTCCATCTGGGTCTCAACCCACCCCCACCATCCCGATCACTGTACCAATTCTGATTTCCACCCCGATACTCACGCGATACCGATCTCTTTTTCGCTTCTCGCCCGCTTTCATCCGATCACGATACTCACCCTATACTGATCACCCAATTCCGACTTCCACCCCGTTGCTTACCCGATACAGATCCCCCGACACCGATCTCTCACTTTTGGCTGATTTCCACCCCGATGCTTGCCCGATACTGATCACACGATCTCGACTCAGTCTTCGACACAACCTCTCGGAAAGAATTGTAAAATTTCCTCAAATTTACTAAACCTCTAACTCCCAAGGAGAGTTCAACGCCTCTTAACTCAGTCCCAAGGAGACACCTTCCAAAGATGGCGATATCGTTCTCCATGGCAGCCCAAAAGGCAATGAGCGAGAGGGAGAAGCAGGACTTTGCTCGAGGTCAGGAGGGAATGGCAATGAGCCAACCAGGGAAGGCGACATCTCAGTCAGGTACGGCGCCAAGAACAGGGGAAGCCAAGTCGCGATCTTTGGGGCAAAAGGCGATGGATTTCCTTTTGGAGAAAACACAATTCAAGGCAGAGATTAAGATCACGAAGGAGGTAATCAAGGGAGAAGGGGGGAAGGAGGAAGTGGTTGTTTGGGAATACCCAGAAGAGGACATTCAGTCTCTGAATGAGCTGTATGAGAAGCACGCGGTCCTGTTTAACTTCTCGGGAAGAAGCAAGGAGCTTTCATTGAATGAGAAGAGAAGGTGGGTGATGGATAGATGGATAGGCTGATAGCCATGGAGGATGTACCAGGGAAGGAACCAGAAGTTTCATTCCACAGGAGGGGAAGGTTCGCTGTGATGATTGTCTGTGTGGATCCTACCTATGCCCAGTACCTGCTGTCGATTGGTTCATTGAAATGCAAGGGAGTTGTAGTCACAATCCAACCCTGGAAGCCGCCAAGACCACCTCAGGCCGAGGCATCAAGGCACAGGCAATCAATGCTGAGGAACCATTTCTGGGTACAGTTTGACAACCTATCGGAAGGGATGCATAACTTTGTGCAAGGGAGACTGGAGGAGGAATTCCCAAGCAATCCAATCATAGAATGGCCTCGGCCAATCCGGATTTCCTGGCGCCAAATCACGATGCAAGGGTGGCATGTTTGGAGGTCAAGTCAGGGGCGCCGCCGAAGTTCCCGGATCAATGGATCTTCAAGAAAAGTGGTCAGAGAATTATAGTCTTCATCTCTACTAAGACTAACCCATTTTGTTTCAAATGCAGGGGTAGAGGTCACCTAGGAACCTCTTGTCCACAAGGGGGATCAGGAGGACCAGGAGGAAAACGGGTGGCATTGAGACAAACTATGCTACAGGAGTGCGAGAGAGAACCAGGTGTCTGGTATATCAATTCATCTCAATACAGGGGATGGATATTTGACGACAACCTGGAAAATCCAAAGTGGGTGTGGGTGTTGAAAAGGGAACCAACGGTCAAACTAGACATCTATCCGCCCTATGATAGCAGGTGGAGACACACTGGAGCCAAGAGAATGGAGGACAAGGAAACGGGTTTTATCGTTAAACCCATGTTGGATGATGCGGTCATGCAGGATGTCGAGCAGAGATTGAAGCTTATGGGGGAATTGCACGAGGTTGGGAAAAATGCGGAATTGGCATTCTTGGAAAATGCAGAAGCCAGAGCACAGCAGCAGGGGCAGGCAAGAGGCAGGGAAGAGGGGTCAAAGGAAATGGAGGAGGGTAAGGGAGACAACATGGATTGTGAGGAAGGAGGGAGGGGAGGAACAGAGGGAGGAAGTACTTCCACAAAGAGGAAGGGAGAGTCAAGGGGAGAGGATGGGTTTAGTACTCAAGAAAGAGGGTCGCAGCAGGGGAAAAGGAGACAAAAGACCCAATCGGGGGAGGGGGCTACTACAGGGGAGGAAGAGGCGGGGGGCAAAACCAGTAAGGAATCATCAGGGAGTTCGGGGAAGGAGAGTGAGGCAGACACAGGCTCACATGGTGCGGCCTCAAAGGGAAGCAGGGCAGGGGAAGAAGAGTCAGGCATGGCGGGAGGGAGAGAGGTGGTCTTGACGGATAAGGATCACTTAGAGGGGTCCCCACAGCATGAAGAGGACAGAAGTGGAGCTCAGGGGTCCCAGGGACATGAAACACTGGAGGATGAAGAAAGAGTAAGAGAAAGGGCGAGTAAGGAGGGGCATGCAAAATGTTGAAAACATGACAGTGGAGCAGATTTTGCAGGCGGAGGAGGATCAGAGGGAGAGCTCAGCGGACACAGAGAGCGAAGCTTCTTCAGAGGAAGAGGAAGAAGAGGAGGAGGAAGAACAGGAAGACTCGGATGTGGAAGACTGGTCAAGGGAGCGGTGGATAAAGGAGGTAGAGCAGTTGGAATGGGGGAGGACGATCGCGTGTGAAATTAGACTGGCCCACCATAAACACCTGAGGAACCTCCAACAAGCCACACAAGCAAGGGAGGACATCACATCAGAGAACAGGTTTGAATTGCTAAGGAGGGAAGGAGAAATCAACGAGTTCTACGCATCTCAGTACGCAAGTCAGACCCGCACAGTAAGGAATGAGATCCACATACAGCAGGAGGAATATGGGAGGATATTCCAATGGCCAAAGACCTACCACATCAAGGAAAGGAAGAGGGACGGTAAGAAACGGAAGGTACAAATGGTAGAGGAGCAAAGCAGTGCAACTGGTGGGGGGAATGACTCGATGGAGGATGCAGCAATGGAGGAGGATCGAGTGAAGGAAGAGAGTGAAGAGGAAGAGGTGCAGGATTTGAGAAGGCAATCTGCGATTTTGGTGGTGCAGGTAAACCTTCTCAAGGATGAAAACAGGGAATTGGAGGACGACACAGTGAATGTACAAAAAATAGCAAAAGGGTCAGTGGAAAGAGATAGAAGCTGCGGGCTGACTGGAAGTTAAGAATGGGACGAGGAGGAGAGTGGTCTTACCCTGTCGATGGAATGCAAGGCACTCGGACTGGGAGGTGGCAATCAACCAGTCCTTGCAGCTGCTAACGGCCCCGATGGAAGAGTGCTCAGGCTCGGATCTTCAGAGATTAATAGGGGGGGAGGTGCCAGCTCGAGCGTTTGTATTGAGAGAGGGAGGAGAGGAGCCGATGGCAATAGGGGAGGAAGGTGAGGATGAGACAACAACCGATTTCGAACCGCTGCTACTCCAAATGGGGGCGGAGTCCGAACTAAGGGAGGGATTGATCTGGATGCCTTGGCAGGTGGTGGAGACCATTCCCTATGGGCTGCTGGGGGGGAACTAGGTGTGGAATGGGTGGCTAGGTGCGCAGCGGTTGCAGTGAAGGTGGAGGCGTTGGTTTGGAAGCCGAACTTCTTCGAGAAGAGGGTAAGTGAGGTAGCAACGACCGTAGAGCTCACTGCACAAAATACTTGAACAAGGAAAGTTAGAAGGAAAGTCCACAGTCTAACACAGGGACCTAATGGAGGGAGGGGTGGAAGAGAGACCAAGAAAACAGAGAAGAAGGATTAAGGGGGGAACAGGTCCACCGGAGCTCAAAATAGCGTCATGGAATGTGAATGGGATGGTGGGGATTTTGGAGAATGGAGACAAGTGGCAAAATGTAGTGAATTTCTCAGAATGGTACACTTCGTATCCACCGGATTTCTTGTGCTTGCAGGAAACACATCTTCAGGAATCGGAAGAACACCAGAAAACGAAGTACAAGATTGAGAAGAAACTGCAAAGAGTTAAGACAGCATGGTGGGCCCCGGCAGCAAGTAACCATTCCACGGGGGTGGTTATACTGCAAAGCAAAAGGGCTATGGCGGCAGACAGGATTCGCATCACAGAAGCAAGGGTGGACAAGGAGGAGGGAAGATGGGTCAAGGTCGACTTCGAGCTGCATGAGGAACCCTACACGCTACTCTCAGTTTGTTGTCCGAATGGCTCTCAACAAAGAGAGGATATGGTCGAAAGGCTTAAAGAGATCCTAGATGGGAATAGGCATCTGATTCTAGTAGGAGACTGGAACGCTACCTTAGACCCCAGCTTGGACAGATTATCGAGAGGGGTTAGATCAGAGGAGGAAGGGTGGACAGAAGAATCGCTACCGATTCATAGGCTAATGACGAATTTAAAACTAATAGATCCCTATAGGTTGCATTACCCGGACGAAAGACAATTCACCTATCGCAAGAGGAACCGCAGCCAACATGTGTCGGCGTCCCGGATAGACTATTTCTTGACGTCGTCAGGAGTAATGGGCATGTTGCAATCAGTGAGTATAGGTAGCCTGCCGTACGGATTGGGTTTGGATCACAAACCTATCCACCTGAGTTTGTCACCGGACAAACAAGTCATCAGAGGTGGGGGGTTCTACAAAATCAACAACTCCCTCTTGAAAACTCAGGAAATGAGACAGGCGGTTTTGCAAGTGTGTCAGGAACACAACCCAGACACACATTCATTCCCAGAACTGCTAATGAGGCTGGCAGCAAAGAGGAGGGAAAAAGAAGAAGAGTTGGCGCGAGCAATAGAGATAGTGGAGCGTAATACTATTAATTGGCCAGGAGAAGAATTATCCGAAAGAGTAGTGGAGACGGCAAGAGGAGAGATGGCGGACTGGCAACGGTGGAGAATGAAAGGCTTACAAATGAGGGCTAGAGTCAAGGAATGGGAGGAGGGGGAGAGAATGACCAAATTCTTCTTCCAAAAAATAAAGTCTAAAGGCAGGAATAACCTCATAGAGCAATTAGAGGGGGAAGGGGGGCTTACCTCAGACAAGGAAGGGATGTTAAGGGTGGCTTTCGATTTCTATAGTAGACTATACACATCTACGGAAGACCAGCTCCCGAGGCGAAGGGTGGAGGAGGGGCGCTCGAAGTTCCTGAACTACCTATAGAACACAATTTCACGACAGCACACGGCCATGCTGGATGAACCTTTAACACAGAAGGAGTTATGGGATGCACTAAAAACGATGGCCCCGAACAAAACCTCGGGGAAGGATGGTCTGGGCAGAGAATTCTGGATAGAATTCTGGCCAATTTTGGGCGAAGAATACCTGGCCTTTCTAGAGCAGGCATGGCAGGTGGAGGGTATAGGTAGTGAGCCCGCAATTGGAATAGTCACGCTGCTTTACAAGAAGGGGAGTCCAGTGGACATACGAAATTACAGGCCAATAACTTTGTTGACCCTCACGCACAAGATAGTAGCCAAGGCGCTAGCTAATCGCTTATCAAAGATCACGGCAGGTTGCTTCCATTTGGATCAAACAGGATTCATTCCGGGAAGGTTTATACTAGACAATGTCATGTGTCTAACAGAATCTGTCCGGTATATAAGAGACAAGAGAATCAATGCTTCCATCCTTTTTTTCGATTTCGAAAAGGCATATGACCAGGTCAGTTGGCCCTTCTTGCAGCTGTGCATGGAAAGAATGGGGGTAGGGCCAAACTTTAGGAAATGGATAAGGGTATTATATAATAACGCGCGGGGACAAGTGCAGGTTAATGGTCACTTATCTTTGACCTACCCGATGTCAAGATCGGTTGGGCAGGGGGACCCCTTAGCAGCTCCTATCTTTCTCTTCATAATGGAGGCAATAGCCTCTTTTCTAAGAAAAGACCCGTCAATAGAGAGATTAATAGCACCGCCAGACCAGCAAGGACACACGGTCGAACTCCCCACAACGATTTTGTTCGCGGACGACTTGACGGTCTTGATCAGAGCAACAGACTCTTCCTTTCAAGCGCTAACAGGGGCAATGGAAGCTTTCCAGCTGGCTTCAGAGATGAAAGTCAATTGGCACAAAACAGCGGGGTGGTGGCTAGCAGAACTGGATCAAGAAAAGCAGATTCCGGTCACAAGCCCGGAGGGGCTTCAATGGTTGACGCCACAGCATCCGCTTCGGTACTTAGGGATCAAAATAACAGAAGAGGGGGCACACCAATCAATGGCGGCGGACATTATGGCCAAGGTGTTAGCGAAGTTCAGTGCTTGGTCAGCAGTGTACACCTCAATATATGGAAGAGCACTGATTTTGAATGCATCAATTTTCTCCATGATGTGGTATGCAGGGTCTATCTGGACCCCGCCCAAGGCCACGTCGGCCCAGCTTAGGAGAAAGGCCGCAGCTTTCTTGTGGACGGCGAAGCACAACACGGACCATTTCATAGCCAAGGTGGCATGGAAAACGGTAACCAGACCAAAAGGGCAATGGGGCTTAGGTATTCTTGACCCAAGTCAGCAGTTGAAAGCGCTTCAAACAAAATGGGTGGTTAAGCTAATCTCACAGCCCAGGCTGTCATGGACGTCACTAGTATTAGAAAGGATTAGGCAGATAGCCAGGTACAAAACACCGAGCAACATGACAAGGCTGTTCTGGATTATGTGTAGCAACTGGGCTAAAATGGGCCACAGGGAGGAGAATAGGGAAATACAAGGAGGGAGAGTTAGAAATCCGGCTTATTGGCTACAACTAATACAACTGTGGAAGGAGGTCTTCCCAGCGAGGGTAAGAGAGCCTACTACAAGAGAGGTATTAAGACAACCGTTATTCTGCAACGCAAACATTAAGGACAATGGCGGAAAGCCTCTAACATTAACAAGCAAGGATTCGAGATGGGGCAGATGGTTGGAGCACGGGGTATGGCAGATCAAACACATTTGGGATGAGGAGAACAACAGATGGAAAACAACAGAGGAGCTGAGAAGGATATTGAAGGGGTGTCACAAGCTTCAGGACAATCTGAGTGTACTCACAGGCTCCATACATCCAACCTGGGTGCAATTGATGAGGGGGGGAAAACAATGGCGGGAGGGAGATTGGGCCACATGGGAAGATGATGCAGAACCTAGAGAGGTGTTCAGGGTGTGGGATACGGTCAAAGATAGGAACGAATGGCTAGTAGCAGACAAATACAACATAATACAGCCGCGCAATACCACGTCCCAATTGGATAGGACATCAAAAGCGCCGCTGTATATTCTCAAACAAGGGTTGCGGAAGGTAAGAGTGATAGAGATGGAGAATTTTACAGTGTACAATTCAACAGTACCAATTGAGGAGCTAGAGGTGGATCCTGGTGAATGGGCCTGGAACATTAGGGGGGGAGAGAGTAGCAAGGAGAATCAATATCCTCCACTATACCACAAAAATAGGATACAGGTTGAGGAACAGATCCCTGTCTATGGGACCTACTCTGCTCAAACGCTGGGAGAAAAGGGTGGGGGTCCCCAGAAACCAAATGAACCAAATGTCAGACATACCATGGGCAAATATTCTATCAATGAGACTGGGACAGGTGAGGAGTATGCAATGGCTAATAGTGCATGTGGCACTGCCAGTGAATGTGTGGCTCAACGAAAGAAGAAGTCACAACCAGAGAAGCGAGGAAGCTGAGCTATGCAGAGTGTGCCAAGAAGGACTTCCGGAAACATTGGTACACTGTCTACTGTAGTGCGAGGAGGCGGAGGGGATGTGGGAACAAGTCAAGGGAATTTGGAAACAGGTGGCGAAGATTGCTTTTCCGGAGTCAAGGATTGCTAGGCTTTTGGGGGCTGAGGTACCCAAACGGATGCAACCCTATCAGAGACATATCTTTCAGCTACTGAGGCAATATGGGCTGTGGATCATTTAGAAGAGGAGATGTCAGACCACTAAGGAAGGAACGCTAATGCATAGAGAGGAAGCCAGGGAGCTTCTCCTCAAGGCAGTGGAAACACATCTCAATGCGCAGTGGAAAAGGGTGAGACAGCAGGCACGGCAACAACCAGGGCAAGAGGAGGAGATAATTAAAAGATTTAAACAGAACACGTTGGGTCAGGGGGCAGTAGCAGAGGTCAGAGGCACACAACTACGCTTTAAATGGAGAGAAGAGGGAGGACAAAATCAGGGGACAGGAGAGGGGTAGGATAAAGGGAAAGGGAGGGAAAATCTCGACAAGCCAGTAAGATCCAGGGTGGACGGGCAAACAAGAGGAACTGGGATGATGACAAAAGATGAAGATCGGGGGAGGAAGGACGGGCGGGGCTCCCACAAGACTCTGGAAAGGGGATATCATGCACCACGGGCAGGGCATAAGAGTGGGGAGGACACAGGCCAACAGGGACAAAGGATGAACTCATCCTAGGGGACATAGCACTATCTGGCAGATCTGTACTCCAGATCTGAGAGGAAAGAGAGGGGCATGGCAAGCTGACAGTAAATCCTCCTCCAAGGTGGAGCAATCAATACTGACCAGGGGTCCTTCGGCCAAACGGAAGGAAGCGTGGTTAATTTTCAAAGACAATGATCCAGGCAGAAATTCTCTGCAGACGGCCGAGGATTAAAAAGTCATGGTCGGAAGATGAGGAGCAACGAAAGAAGGCCAGACAGGTGTTCAGTAAGGTCTGGTTGCTAGAAGGCAAGGTGGCTGACTTGAGGGACGACCACATTTGTTGGAAGGACTGGCACAACTCAAATTCAGGAAGAAGAGAGGGGCAGCAGAGAACGGTGCAAGGACAAGATTATCCTGGTTCAGAACTTTAAAGAGGAAAGTCAACTCCAAGGAATTTCGGAGCAGGGGTACACAGGTTGAGGGTTTAGGGTTTAAGGATGGGGGGATAAAAAATTGGGGCAGAGATAGCAGGAAGTATGGGCAGCAGGGAAAAATCAGAGAAACAGGAACAACGACCGAGCTCTTTCTAGGAAGGGTAGTACTATCTGACAGGCCTGGTGACCAGGTCTGAGAGGGAAGAGCGGCTCATGGCAAGCTGACAGTCAATCCTCCACCAAGATGGAGCAATCAATGCTGATCAGGGGTCCTTCGGCCTAACGGAAGGAAGCGTGTGTACTTTCCATTGTAACGTAATTATTGACTTGCCGGGGGAATAGGAACCGGACTGACGCTCTCCAGAATAGAAGGAGCCAGGACCATAAGGCCCTGTTCAAAAAAAATAAAAAATAAAAAAAATAAAAATAAAAAGGAACAGGACTGACGCTCCCCAGAATGGATATGGAGCCAGGCCCATAAGGGCCTGTTTTTTTTTTTTTTTTTNTTTTTTTTTTTTTTTTTTTTTTTTGAAGAAAAAAAAGAAATGGAGTCGGGGTGCGGCAGGAGATATATCAAGAGGAGTGGTAGGATGGGAGTCTCGTGAGTATGTGGGAAAAAAAAGAAGAAAAAAGGGTGGCTATTGTTGTGATTTTGGCTTGCCGGTGGAAAAGGAACCAGACTGGTGCTCCCCAGAGTAGAATGTAGCCCAGACATTACGGCCTGTTTCAAAAAAAGAAGAGAAAAAAAAGGTTGGGCAGGCGATTGATTGCTGTCATCGGGGTGGGAAGACTGATTTCTAAGCCGCATGAGGTGGAGTTGAGAGAAGCAGAGCATGTTACCATGCAAGATTAATTATAATTGCATGCCTCTACCCCTCAAATGGATTTCGGAATTTAGGAAGGGGTGGGCGAGCCCCTGATGCCAGTCGAGGTAATCCTCACCCGATTGAAGACTGAAAGTCTGAAACTACGAAGCAAGTAGAATAGAGTGCCATATTATAGGTGACGTTCTCATGCAGTTTGGACAGGACTCAAATACAGCGGGCATGTTTTGCTCAGTGGGGAAGTTTCTCGCCATTGAGTATACAAGGAATTGAAGGTCGTTTTCTGCTCATGTTAAATCATGAACTGGTTTCTTCAGCTGTTTCTTTATGTGTAGGTGCTTTATATGATTGAGGTGATGCGTGGACATTCTGCTAATGAGGCTGGGACTGGGCAAACTTATGTTGATGGTGGTTAGCATCTCTTATTGGTGTGTTGATGGTGGTTAGCATCTCTTATTGAGGGTTTTGGTGTGCAGAATGGCCATAACTGACAGTCAATCTTCTTATTGATAGTAACCAACGGTGTCAATGATTTGCCTGGTCATAACAGGGGGCTGCGTTGAAGGGTTAATTTAACTTAATTATTGTACGACGACTTGCCAGTGGAAAAGGAACCACACTTATGTGCCCCAGAAGCCTTGTGCCAATACCATTCAAGGACACATGGCCTAAAACCCTAAACACTACACCATTCCTCACCGAAAATGTTAACTGCTTTCTGAGGGGGTAGAGCTGGTTGGAACCTGTTGTTGGAACTCAGAGTGCCATGGTAATCCTTTTCCCTTTTGCTAACTACTCTGTTGAAATTTCATGTTTGCTCTTGTTCTCGGTCCCTCTTGTTTGTGGTTCACTTCATGAGCAGAAGTACCTGACACACCAGTTCCTCTTCGAATGTCTGTGAATGGGGTGAGCATGGACATCTCGAAATGCTTCAACTCCAACACTTCATGCAGTTATGGGCTGGAGCATGGATGTGAATATCCTTGCCACCTGCTGTTCTCTGAAGGTACTCTGAAACTGGCACTCATTGACTACCAACACTTGTCCCAGAAATCAAGGATGGTTGTTGGGTGCCTTGATAGTCCTTTTGTGCTTTCTTAATTTGCTCCGAGACAAAGCGTTGATCTTCCTTGAGTACTCACCTGTACCTTTAATTTTTTGTTTTCCCCTTCTATAAAAGCAGGGCCATATGGTCCTGACGATAGGGGAAAAAGGGAACGCCACAGCAAAGTGCGCAAAGCCTCAAGGGTGAGTTAAACAGAGATACGGAAAGAGATGAAGACGAGGTTCCATCGCAAAGAGTATGAGATGATAGAGAGAGAGAAAGAAAAGGAGAAAAGGCAACCACATAAAGCCATGGAAAGATGGTACGCTCAAGGTAAATCAGAAAAAAATTCAAAAAACAGATAAAAACCAGAAGAATGTTTTGGCCATACGAACGTTTCAGCCGCCCGCCAGAGACGGCCTCATCAGTGGACATAGAACTGCTTCCTTTCATTCTGGGGAGTGCCATGCTGGCTCCATTTCCTTTTTGGGGAGCGTCAGTCCGGTTCCTTTTTCCCCAGCAAGTCATTATAATACAATAGATCAGGCACACACACTTCCTTCCGTCTGGCTGAAGGACCCCTGAACAGCATTGATTACTCCATTCTCATGAAGGATTGACTGCCAGCTTGCCTTTCTTCTAGAAATCCTCTCAGCTACGGCGTACCAAAGCCGTCGGCTCAACTTGTAAATCAGGACTTCTACAAGGAAGGTAGGACAGTTATAGCATTGTCGTTCGCTCTTGTCAATCCAGGCCCATGAGCTCTCCTGTCTTCTTGTCACGTTTGCATTCCATGTAGGCTCAGCAGCAGCCACCTGCTGCAAGCCATTCCTAGTTGCCCTTCTGCGCCCAGATAGGGGTTGGTGCCTCCTGTCCTGGGTGGTCTGCTGAACTGTTAATGTGTCAGAGTTGTGCCAATCCTTCCATCTTAGGTTGAGTCCGTTTAGCCATGCCACTTTGCCTCTTGCCAACCATACCCGCTTGAATTTACCGAGCACCACCTGTTCTGTCTCTGGACTATTCTGCAGAATCTGCCCCCATAGTTTGACCTTCCTCCAATTGTGTAGGATCTCCGATTCAATCATCCCTTTGGCGGCAGCCCAGACCTTCTCCCGTGGGTTCTTGGTACCTTCCAGAGTTCTGCTGCATCTTCCCTTCCATATAGTTCAGAGAGTGACCTTGTGGACAATTCCAAACCAGACCTTTTCTGGTTTCCTGAAGTTAGGGGGTAGGTTAGTCCAGAGGATAAGTTGGAGAGGGTGTTCAGGGAGGGGAGACGAGAAAAAAAAGGCGTCCCACAGATTTGCCACTCTTGCCCAACATTCTGTGGCTTCTTTAATCTGATTAGGCAATCTGTGTTTGCTTCCTGATCCGAGCATATGATGCAGATATCGGAGCGGTTGTGATCATTCTTTCTTCTTCTAGCATGCAGCCACTGGTTTACTGGTAGAGCGGTGTATGTTATAAGCCACTGCATGCTCCTGATGTTGATTGGCCTTATCGTTTTGTATTTTTTTTTCCCATGGAATCTTTTGAGATCTGGTCTGATTCAGAGCCGATTAGCTTGTTCCATCTTCCCTTGATTGCTGGTTCTGGATCTTTTGCAAGGAAAATGAACAGAAGCGAGATGACAATATACAGATTGCACAATCACATTGAAAGCCAGATCGTATCACAGTGTTCAGAATAGCATTGCACCAATATGACACCAATGGAGAATCGTAGCACTGAAAACCAATGTCAATGAGAGCTTGCTCTCGCCACCACCAACATATGTATCCAGTTCCTCTCTCCCTACTTGGCGCTCGGCGCCCAGCCTACTCCCTACACAGCTACTACTAGCCTACTAATTGACAATGCAACTGTTGACGTCAGCAGCCTCCGAAGTACTTGAAGATGTCGCCCATGCAGACCATCGCCAATACCAGGTATGTGCCCTCACATCATCATCATCATCATCCTTCTCTCTCTCTCCCTTGTCTTACTCCCACGTCTTCCCTCTTGTACACCCGAAGACCACCCCTGCGCCTCACTGTACATCCAAGCCCGCCAGCTATGGAGGCTTGGCTATGGCACTGCCCTCAGCAGTGCCCTGCTCCCTGCACGACCGCACATGCTACCACCTCGCCTCTCAGCGCTAGCAGCAGCCCACGAGCTTCAGCTCGAGCAGCGCTGCCGCCAGCATGCGAGTGCCCGAATGAGCCGCCAGCCAGCGAGCTCTTTCCTATATGGAAAAGAGCTGGCCTGGCTTCGCAGCCTGGCTGCCCTGAGCCGGGGCCCAGAAGCTTCCGGTAGGCCCCAGGGTGCTGCGCCTCTGGTGCAGCTACTGGGCCTCATTCGGTTGGGCCTCCCAACTGTCTGTGTATGAGCCTGCGAATCTCGACCAGGGCCTGTGCTTTCGGAAAGGCCTAGAAGGCCTGGGAATTTCCACGCTGCTCGGCCTGTGTTTTCCTTCAACCAACTGGCGCGACGTAACTGCCTGGACCCCAAATACGAAATTGACAGCCAAGGGCCTCTCGTAATTTGTTAGGCCCGCCTTCACTTAGGGCGGGCACATTTGCAGCAGGGGGCCCTTAGGCCTGCCGAGGACCCAGATCCTCGCACTTTCGTCTTTAGCAACATCTCCTACGCAAGTTTGACAGTGTATTTGAAGATTAGAATTGGTGGTTTGCGCGCCTCGCTTGTGTTATTTATTATTATTATTTTTTTTCCCTGGGAGCCACGCCTATTCTAGAGCGTCAAACTCTAGATCTTGGACGGATGTTCCCATTTGGAATATCCGTTTTGGCCAGAATCCCAACGCTCTCACTTTGTGGAGTGTAAAAGCATTTAGAACTACTCCTGGATTCATGTTTTAGATGGAAGGTTCGTCTGGCTTGGCCATCTGGATAGGACAGGAGGTGAAAACAGCAAGCGGTTCTGATGTTTATTGTCGATGGGAGAATTGGTAGGCCTTAGTCGGCGCAGTCTCCTGGATTAAGACTTTCCACTCTCCTGGTTTTCAAGTGAAGTCTTCCTTTAGTAATTCTTTCCAACTGTCCAAGATGCTTTGTATGATCTTCTGCAGGTTTTCATCCCTCTGGACCTCTGGTGGCAGCCTTTCAGCAGGATTTTCAGGTCTCTTTCTTCCTTCCAGTTTTTCTTCCTTATTCCAAACATCCATCTCTCCAGATTCCGTGCTTGATCCATGATAGCAATCTGTTACCTCTGCAAGACAGTGTCCAGGGGTGGTTGCCCTCATCTCTGATCCACGGGTTTCCAAAGAGAGGTGGTCTGGAAGGAAAAAAAAAAAAAAAAAACAAACAAACAAACAAACAAACAAACAAACAAACAAACAAACAAACTATGGTTCTTGGTCCTTATCCATTGTGGAGAGCCTCAGTCAGCTTCCCCTTTTTTTTTAACAAAAAACAGAACCTTAAGGTTCTGGCTCCTTTGGGAAGAAGGAAGACTGTCGGAAGGTAAGGATATGGATCGGTCGCAGACGACAGGCTGCCAAATGGATCCGGGTCGGTCAAGGGAAAGGACAACGAGAGTTGAAACAATCGCCGACTCAGGACAGACCAGATAACCCTCTGCAGTAATAAGGGGCAGACGCTCACACGCCACAACAGGACAAATTAAGCGACTAATGGTGGATGGAAGGGAAGGTGGCTGAGCGGCGGGACGAAGGAACACACTGGAAGGTCCGACACAATTCAGAGGAAGTGCAGGTGTACTCAGATGGCGGCAGTAACGGAGGGTATTTGAGTCAAACACAGTTAGGCGCGACTCAGGACAGACCAGATAACCCTCTGCAGTAATAAGGGGCAGACGCTCACACGCCACAACGTGACAAAGTAAGCGACTAATGGTGGATGAAAGGGAAGGTGGCTGAGCGGTGGGACGAGGGAACACGCTGGAAGGTCCGACACAATTCAGAGGAAGTGCAGGTGTACTCAGATGGCGGCAGTAACGGAGGGTATTTGAGTCAAACACAGCTAGGCGCGACTTGGGAGGAGCTAGGATCCGAAAAAGAGTCTTTGGGAACAACACTTTGAGAAGAGTACTCAGCCGCAGCAGAACAGGACACAGAAGGGGATACAGGGAGAAGGAAAAGCAGACTTGGTTTTACTCCAGCCACAAACGGGAAAATTAGAGGTGTAGGGAGGACAGGCTGGAGGTTGATACGGAAAATAAGACAGGGCGGAGCAGGCGGAAACCTCAGATGGTTAACTAACATGACATTCTGCATGACAAGGAAGTTTAGGCACCAAGGCGACCCGCAGAATTTTGGATAACTGGCCAAAGAGGGTTTCGGGTCTGGGGTTTTTGGAGCGATGCCTATCTCCAGACTCGAGACTAAGGGGGGGACAAAGTCTAAAGCGTGGGGCCTTGCAAGGGAAATCAAGGCTCAGCCAGAGTAGTGGTGGAGCTCTTTCTGGTTTTCTGAGGACATATCTGGCAGATCTGCGTAACAGATCTGAGAGGAAAGGGTGACGCACGGCAAGCTGGCAGTCAATCCTCCACTAGGTTGGAGTAATCAATGCTGTTCAGGGGTCCTTCGGCCAGACGGAAGGAAGCGTGGGTATATCATATTTGTAAAACTATTTTGACTTGCCGGTGGAATAGGAACCGGACTGATGCTCCTCAGAATGAAAAGGAGCCAGGACCTTAAGGCCCTGTTTAAAAAAAAAAAAAAAAAAAAAAGGAAAGATTCTGGCTCCTTTTCCATTCTGGGGAGCATCAGTCGGGTTCCTACTCCATCGGCAAGTCAGGAAGAATTACAACGAGTACTCACACACGCTCCTCCCCCTTATGGTGTGAAGGCCTGAAGGACAGCATTGATTACTTACAGAAGGAAGGATGTACCACCCTTCACCCCTGCCTAAGTTAGCCTGTTGGACCTAATTTAGGCACGGTCTGGTCTCCTGCGCCCCTGCCTGCTAACTGTATCCTGCTTGCGTTGGTCTGGCTAGCTT